GCTCTGTAAGGAGCGCTTCTTGGCCCTATTCACAATGCACTGCGGCTCTAAACATATTGAGTTGTTTTCCTTTTTTTGTTGAGCGAATTCGATATTTTTTTTGTATCTTGTTATTTGGGTTGCCGACCCCTGGCGTAGGCTGCTTATCCTGGTGAGGCCCTCATCCAGCGGCGGATTAACACAACGTTCTGTGCATGCACCGTATGTGTCCACCTCGGGCGTGTCCACCACCACCACCACCACTACAGCTCAACTATTCCTGCCACCACCGACAAAGATCCCCCGTATAGCCTTCAACAGACTGTTGGGGCAAGGGCTGTTAGCGAGCGCCTATGAAAGCCGATACGGCACACAAGAGGGGTGGATGGCCAGCACCACCCCCCGGTCGCCTTTGTCTCCCTCCCGGTGATGTTTACACACCGCACCGGGTATTGTACTCTTTTGAGGCTGAGTCGACTTAGGGGAGGCCCAGGACCGGTTCAGATGATCATCACTGATGTTGGCCGTGAGCGGGAATCGAACTGGGCTCGCGGGGTTTGTAGCGCAGCGCCACCGCCACCACCAGTCACCACCATCACCGCCACGAGCAATCTGACAACGACGATGAGCACCACCACGACCAACGATCATCATCGACACCACCACCATTCACCCCCGACCGACCGCCCAGCGATTCTGTGAATTTGTCACGATTAGGATCCGGGTTCGGTTTAAATAATGTAACGTTGATGTCGCTTATTTACAATCTCGTTTGTACAGTTGCGTGTCCTCGATTCGCCTCTACGTGACGTGGGCACCACGCGTGTACGATCATTAATCATCGATTCCCACGCGCACGAGGCAATGCAGAGGGAGCTAAGACGTCAACGTTAATCGATAATTTGGTCATGCTGCTGCTGTTGCGTTTGCAGTGGTGCACAAATAACAACAACACTCAGCAATATTCGTCACTAATCCTCTGTAGCAATTGGCCCTTGTTCACGGCGCGTACATAGAGAGGTTCACGAGTGATTGAGTGGATGGCAGGAGACTCGACGTTAATAGTGGTGAGAGATGGTGCGAAAGAAGTCCGACATCCGTGTATTTATGCAGCGTACGGTGCCTCGCCTATCTCGGTCTGGAAGTGGGCTCACTGCGCCACCCGCTGGTGGTGAAGACGTGGGATTGGTCTGGTGCACGGGACGAGGACGGCACCAGGATGTCATCGATCATCCATCACCCGTGTTCAAACCACTGCTGTAATGAAGCCACAATCAGTCTCGCAACTGCGTGTGAACTCATCTAAACGTTGCGTTCACCACATATGTATACGTGTAAATTATAAATATATATTTTTAAACAAAGATCCCCCGTATATCCCGAACAAACTGTTGGGGTAAGTGCTGTAAGAGAGAACCTATGAAGGTCGGCACAGCACACGAGGAGGTGAGTGGCCAGCACGACGCCCGGCCGCATTTGTCTGGCTAGTGGCGATGATGACACACCGCACCAGACACTCATTTGAGGCTGAGTAGCTCTATGAGAGGCCAAGGACCGGTTCAGATAATCGTCGCCGGTGTTGGCTGTGAGCGGGTTCGATTCCCGCCTCCCATACATTGTATATATATACATAATCAAAGACATACGCCTCCCAAATTAGCCTACATAAAAGGTTGGGACGAGTGCTGTTAGCGAGCACATATTATTGTCGCGAGATCATGACAAAAATGGATGCGTGTATCGTAAGCGGATGAATAGATTTTAATCGACGTATCAACTCACCTTCATGCGTCTATTATTGAATTCATCCTTTAACTGAGCGTTCATATGGACGTCATTGTCTTAAAGCTTGCCCATTAAAAGCCTGGCTGCTGATGAGCCACTGAATGTCGAAACCGGCAAAGAACTTGCTTGCATTAAACTCATGCTTCTGAAGAAAAAAACATCACTCCCACGGGATGTGTAAAAATATACTCGTTGTATGTTTATTGTGGACATCGAGGATATGGGCAGGAGACGTATTATCTGCTTGTTTATTTTGTCCTTTAAAGGGTTTAGGATTTTACTCCAATCCCTTGCATTATGTGCCGGGGTGCTTTGTTGAGTGGTCACGTGGGGTCGTTCGTGACCCTTGTCGGTGACCCTTACCGCTGACCTTACTGCCGGCCTGCGCTCACGGGTGCGGCGTGTGCTGGGGTCTATGAGTCATCTGTGTACCATGCGCGCGCACTGCGCAGCCATCAGCACCGGTGAGATAAAAGCCGTCCCGGTGGGGTGCTGGCTCGAAGCGACACCACCCCTCGTCCCGAATGTCTGGCTTTACTTAATAGGTGCTCGCGAACGACGCTTATGGTAGCTACGGGCGTGTCGACAATACGAGCGTCTTTGCCTCGGTACGTTTGCTGTGTACTCCACCGTCTGTGCGTGTGTCCACGTGTGCGTATTTTGCCTCCAGTTTAACAGCAGAGGTCTCACTCCGAATCAGTCGAGCGGCAATATCTTTTCATCGGTTGCGTAACGCTGTGTGGAAGCTACCTGGTCTGTCGCTCCGCACTAAGCTTCAGGTCTTCTCGGCCACGGTCATTCCCTCCCTTCTCTACGCTTGCGAAACGTGGACCCCCCTAATGGAACATCTTCGCCGGTTAGAAACATTTAGGCTAGCCTGCCTACGATCCATCCTGGGTTTAACCATGCTGAATTGTGTGAGGAGCTCACAAATCCTTGAAAGATCTGGGCACGGTCCCATCGGTGAGCTCCTCCGGCAGGCAAGGCTGCGTTGGCTGGGTCATGTAGCCCGCATGCCCAGCCACCGCATGCCGAAACAGCTTTTGTTCGGCCGGATCGAGGGGGCTAAACGGGCGCGGCACGGGCTAGAGAAGAGATAGAGTGATGTGGTACGGGAGGACGTGGAGCTGAGTGAACTTGCCGATGACTGGTACCAGCGGTGTCAAGATCGGCCTCTGTGGAGGAGGCTCGTGAAGGACGCTACTGGGCAGTTGGAGGCAGTCGCCCTCCAACAACAATGGAGGGCGGAGGAGCGACGCTCACAACAACGAACGGAGCGCCGGGTGGCTAAAGCACAGCAGGTTGGCACAGTAGGGGGCACAGGTGTCATCTCGGTCATCTCAGTCAGTCGACCCATGGCACCTGGGTCTGCCCCGTGACCTCCTGCCAGCGGGCGTTCGACACTTCACGTGGCCTCAAGGTGCACATGGCCTGGCACAAGCGTCGTGGTGACGTCACCGCCACTTAGTGGCGAATGGCGGTTGTATTTTGTTTCGGCCCGTGTGTTCGAATAACCAAGTGCATGTCGGCAAACGTGATCAAGTGACAGCAGCGGCAGTGATAGACAACTGCGGGCTCGGTTTCGTCGGAATGAGAAGTCACCAGCACAGTGTGGTCATTGATGCTCACCGCTGCCAGGTCTGTCTGGAAACCGCGTATGATGCGGAGTCCCCACTGCCACACTGTGGGGCAATTGAGCTTGGATGATGCCAAAGAAAAAAACAATCACATGAGTAACTGACGAGAAAACGTCACCCTAACAAAAACAATAGAGCGGATGGCAAAGCCACGAGTTGCAAACATGAGATAAATATGTGTAAAAGGCAACACCGGCCTCTGTGCATGTGAAGAAAAAAAAAATAACCCCATCAACACTCTCGGAAGAACTACATGTGGTCCCCTCCCATTGTAGATACAACACGTAATTAACATGCGTGTAAATAACGTGTTGTCCTCGCATATAAAATAGTAATTTTAGAGGCAGGCCTTGCTTTGGGACGTTTGCCCCATGCCTTATTTAGGCGCCGCATTTTCTGCGTGGCAGAATTTGTACAGTGTCATCCTCTTCGTCATCGCACCTCCGATGAGCACGGTTGGCTACGTACGGTGTGACAGAAGTTCAACATACGTACATTGTGTGTGTATGTTTGGAGTGATCTGTCCACGTTGGGTTCGCGTGGGCACATCCACACGGGCACGCATGCTGCAGCAGCAACACGAGGACGCAGGTTCATTTATTCAGGACGGTAGATTCCACACACCCACCCCTGCCACCCCGAAATCCAATCACACTACGCAGACAAGATTCGGGGTTGAATGTATGCATGTTGAACTTCTTTCGCACCGTAGCCAACCGTGCTAATCGGAGGTGCGGGGAAGGATAACAAACTAAGCACAAAAAAGCAGGTTCTAAAGAAATTAGTTTTCAATTCTAGATTTAAAAGCGCATAGCTCCAGTGGCTTCCTAATATCGGAAGGAAGAGCGTTCCAGACGGCCGCAGATGCGCATCTGAAAGCGCGCGATGCAGGTGGCCGTCTTTGTTCGATGGCGAGCCAGAAGCGGCTGCTAGGATGAGCGGAGTTCGCGTGATGGGTTATGCTCATGAACGAGATCAGCGAGGTATCGTGGTTCATTTGAGGCAAGCGCTTTGTGTGTTATGAGTGCGACCTCATAATGGGTTGGCAGGGACGTCTGAACAGTCTGGTAAACACGAAGGGGTGGCGAGGAGACGATGGCCAACGCAAGGAAATCAAACATCTGAAGCGAAAGGGGTTGGTTTCCATAATCAGGAATAAAACGTCAGTTTATAAGGGATGTTGCCTCGCGAGATTGTGAGAGGTGGTGGATGGCTTGGCGAGGTCTTTCTTCATCCAGCAGTGGATACAATTATTGCAGCTCATGATGATTATTGAACATAAGGGGAGAACGGGTGATTATTTTGCATTCATGAAAAGCATGTATTTCAGTGCCCGCACCTCTGATTAGCACGGCCGGTTACGTACGGTACGAAAGAAATTCAACATACCTGCAGCACCTGCACCAAAGAGGCAAAGACCTCCCGTGTAGCCTTAACAGACTCTTGGGGCAAGTGCTGTTAGCGAGCACCTATAAAGCCCGAAACGGTGCGCATGGGAGTGGGTGGCCAGCACCACGCCCGAGCGCCTTTGTCTTCCCAGTGGCGATATTTATACACCGCGCCAGGTTCTCATTTGTGGCTGATTCGACCTAGGGGAGGCCCAGCACAGGTTCACCTATGTGTCACCGATGTTGGCCGTGAGAGGGAAATCGAACTCGGGTCGCCGGGTTCTTGGCGCAGCGCGCCAAAATCGCTCCGCCACCGCAAGCCACCTCCATCAACTCCTTACTTTGCGCGTCTGCCCACGTCTACGGTGAACGAGCAGGCGGTGGCGCTGGTGTTGCCCTCCCTGGGCGCCCGCAGCGCAGGAGCTTCGCGAAGGCGACTCTGAAGTCGCGGTTGAGGGTCGCGTAGATGAGCGGGTTGAGCGCCGAGTTGGCGTAGCCGAGCCACAGCACCACGGCGAAGGCGTTCGCCTCCACCGAGGCTCCCGTGACGCCCTGAAAGGTGAACACAGTGAAGTATGGGAACCAGCACGTGACGAAGGCGCCCATCACCGCCGAGAGCGTGGCCGTGGCCTTGTGCTCCCTGAGCGTGGCCAGCGTGAGCGGCTGGTGGAGTCTTCCTTCTCCTCCTCTCCCTCCTCCTCCTCCTGATTCGCCTGCTGCTGCTGCTCCTCTTGGTCGTCGTCTGTCTTCAAATCCACCTCGCGCTTCCCCTCTTTCTCCTCCTCCATTCTCTCTACCGTCTCCGCATATTGATCTTCCACCGACAATTCCTCCCTCTCCTCCTCTTGTACCTCCTCCCCCACCATTACCTTCACCATTTCCTCTTCCCCTATCTCCTCCTCTGCCTCTTCTACCGTCTTCCCCCGCGTCTCCTCCAGCATCTCCTCTACCACCACCTCCTCCTCCTCGTCGAATCCATCCTCCACCTCCTCCTCGTCGTCGCCCCACCGTCGCGGCGCCTATCCTCCTGGCCTGCGCGCGAGCCACGATGAGCACGCGGCTGTAGGTGAACAGCAAGAGAGCGAGCGGCACGTAGAAGGTGCCCGTGGCGTCGAAGAGGACGTATCCGCGGTTCAGCTCGAACACGCAGCGATCGGCGGGGTCCCCGGGGCCCCTGTTCTGCGGGGTGCCATCCTCCGTGTTCCAGCCCAGGTGCAGAGGAGGGAAGGACACGGCGAGGGACACGAGCCAGATGACAGCCAGGCTTGCCGCGACCCGCCCGCGGGTCACCCTGTGGGATAGCGCGACGCACAGCCAGATATGTCGGGCGCCACGGTGGTGAGATGTTAACTACATCGCCAGGAATACAGGGGTCGTGGGTTCGATCCCGACCCTGACACTTGCATATTTAGAGTTTGCATGTCTCTCTCCCCGTGGTCGCGTGGATTTTTCTCCGGGTTCTCCAGGCTTTCCCTCCACGTTTATAAGCACGCGTTCAGAGTATTTGGCTGCTATACATTTCCACATGATAAGCCACGACGTTGAGCTATCATTTGCGGCCAGGTCATTTCTAATAAATGAGCTATATAGCTCAGTGGGCCCTACCCGCTAAAATAAAAATAGTATATTTTTTTTACTCAGGCGCCGAGAGGTGGAGGCTGCGTGGCCCTGGGGTCGGAGCGCTGAGCCGACACCGTCGAAATCCTAAGTTCGATTCCAGGTTTCAGATTTATAATCGGGTTTCTATCGTTGTGAATTGAGCGTCTCAACTCGGCACACCAATTAATACAAATATTGTTCCCGTTACGAGTTGAAATTATCAACAATAATTATTATTCACATTCATTACAAGCATGACTTAAACGATAGTCACAAAATTTGGTTTTGTACTTAATTTGCTTACATTTTTGCTCTGAAACCAATATATATCGGGAGGTCAGACAATCAAGCGACAAACATTACTCTAAGTGGCAGAGCGAGTCAGAAATATTGCCCACTGGTGTGCTGACCAATAAAGGGAACTAAGTACGAGTTCTATGGTATCAATTTCAGCGGGTTCGTTCTCTAACGCGGGGTGGGGAGGATGGGGAGGGGAGGGGGGTTCACTGCTCTGCGAAAGATCCGGAAAAAAAAACGCTTTGGTCTCAACGTACGGCGCCAATAGGGCAATGGGAATGCAATTGGGGTTTTTTTTCGCGGAATGGGTGCTATCTCTCGTAAATAATTATCAGACGCAAACCCCGGGGCCGCACCTGCACGCGTAGGTGAACGGAGAGGACACGGCGCAGTAGCGATCCACGCCGATCGCCAGCAGGTGCAGGATGGAGGCCGTGCACAGCATCACGTCCGAGCTTGTGTAGACGTTGCAGAAGGTGGGCCCGAGAGGCCACGACGAGTGGAGCTCTACGAAGGCCGAGAAGGGCAGCACCAGCACACCCAGGAGGAGGTCGGCGACCGCGAGCGACGCCGTGAAGCAGTTGGTGAGAGTGCGCAAGCGGCGCGTGAGCGCCACCGCCAGACACACGCACGCGTTGCCCGCGACCTGGTTTGGTTACGTGGCCCACAGCCGAGGTTGGATCCCAGTTTAGCAGATAGAGACATACGGGGGGAGGGTGCGAGAGGGGTGCTCAGATCAGAGTCCGGGGAGGTATCATCTGGCATTTTACCCGGGGACTCCAAACAAAAACTATCAACTATTTTTATTTTATTTTACCAGGTAAGGCCCACTGAACTGTGTAGCTTTTTTTCAGAAGTTGACCTGGCCATAAATGATAGCTCAACGAAGTGGCTCATCATGTGGAAATTTAGAGCAGCCAAACACTCTAAACGCGTGTTGATACTTAATGTAGAGGGGAAAACCGGAGGACCCCGAGAAAAATCCACACGCCCACGGGGAGAGAGACATGCAAACTCCAAATATACAGCAGGCGTCAGGGATCGAAGCCACGACTAGAGCTCGTGGATATTTGTGACGTTCCCCAAACCTGCTTGGGATGCGAGGTGGGCGTAGGAGTGGGTTCATAAACCCATCTGTGCGGACCTTGGAAGGTTATCTCTCCTCCTGTGTGGGGTTTTCGCTGAACTCCTCGGGTTTCCTCCCTGTCACGTGAAGCAAGCAAAACGCTCCTCATTCGTTTTTGAATGAGACTCAATTGAGGCTTCCTCCTGAAAATAATGACGTATTACAATTTGCTCAGTAAATTACACGAGAGAGTAATTAATGTTATCGACGAAGGCGAATTCATAATCGAATAATCGTTATAATTCAGGGTCGCTAAACAATTCAAGATCTCGCCACATACGACATCCACCTCTGATTAGCACGGTTGGCGATGTACGGTGCGAAATAATTTCAACACGCATACAGTTACACGAAAAGAAAATAATCGACTATTGTCCATAACGTGAGCGAAAAAAATAGATTTGATTAATTAAATGTTTTCTTCATATATATTTATACCAGCACCCACACGTGCTTTGGACGTGATCATCCGTCCGTCCCTCTCTCTCCAGCAAGCCAACAAAAGTTAGTTTTTTTCTTCAAATATGGTATCATGATTTGAAAGGAGCATCCCAAAAATAATGTCTGCTTCGGGCCCCTCTACGCATGGGTTAATGGGCAAGCACCACCGCCACCAACGACCGCTGCGCTGACCAACCGTGGCGAAGATGAGCGTCACCAGGGAGGTGACGATGACGGCCCGCTGCAGAGGCGGGTGTTTCCAGCACCCTCCGAGGGTGCAGTTGAACAACGAGGCCACATCATCACCACCACCACCACCACCGTCACCTTCACGTATCTGCATGGCAGCGAACACAGAGCCCCCCAGACCTGGGCGCAAGTCTCCCTCCCTGCACGCGCGCGGTGGGTGTCCACGGGATGGGGGGGGGGGGACACCGGGGTAGGTGGGTCATGTAAGGATGGTTGGATAGGGTGGATCGCCCATTCCAAGTCGAGCGAGTTCCTCATTATGAACGACAATGCCCTTCCCCACTCCCTGCCCCCTCCCCCACCGCTCCCCCCCCCCCATTGGAGGCAGGATCCTCACGATGGCTGGGGATGCATTTGTGTTGCAGCTAAAGAGGTCTTTCCGCACAGGACAATGCCAGTGGGTCATCATGGTGAGGCCTGTTTACCCAGGAAAGCTTCACTGAGCCTCATGGAAGGTCCTGCCGAAGTGTTCACAGTTGGGTCCGATTTTGCTTCAACATACACACACACGTGTGTATACTCCTCGGTAGAATAATGTAGACACAACAGTTTCAACACTGGGATGTTTGGCTAATATCAAGTTACATTTTATGTTTTCATAATGGTAATATTATGATGCGCGGAGACCGGAGAACCCGAGGGAACCCACGCAAAACATGGGGGGGGGATACAAACTCTGCGCAGTGAGAAAGGCGCCCGAGCCGGGAAGCGAACCTAGGTGATTCTTGCTATGAGGCACAAACAAGTGTCACCACTGGGCTATTCGTTACTCTAGGGCTCAGCGCTGGATTATAACACTGCACTGCCAACCACGGTGCTCGCTTATGGCAGACCCTCCCTTTCGTGTGCAGTGGAAATTCCACGTTCACGTGACAGAACATAGTCTGCCCTTAACGCAAGCTCTGACTTTGCCGCATGATGTCCATGTTAGCTGCCCGCCCCGGATTGAAGGATGATGATTATACTGATGATGATACTGATGATGCCGCTGAAATCGCTATTGTCGATGATGATACTCCTGATACGGATGCTGCTGCTGATAGCACTGTGTAACGTTTTTTTTTGTTCCTGGGTAGTAAGTGTTATTTCCTAATTGCTTATGCCTCAAAAGTCCAGAAAATCGCTATTATTCCCCACAAACTTTGCTATTGTGACCAGGACATTGATATTTTGAAATGTACCTATTTTCAATGAGAAAACGGGCGAATTTGTGTCTTTTCGTTAACGTAAAGTCAGAAAACAACAACATATGAATCAAAATTAACATGTATTTATACTAAAGTAATACAAAAATTACGACAAAAGATTTAGACACCAAGGCGCACTACCACAGGCGGGACTGGCCACAGCGGACCGAGTTCTCTGTGGGGAAGAACAATCTCGAAACACTACTCACTTCTAAATCTTTTGTAGTCATTTTTGTATTACTTTAGCATAAATACATGTTAATTTTGATTCATATGTTGTTTTTTTCTGACTTTATGTGAGCGAAAATACACAAATTCGCCGGTTTTCTCATTGAAAATAGGTACATTTCAAAATATCACTGTCCTGGTCACAAAAGCAAAGTTTGTGGGGAATAATAGCAATTTTCTATACTTTTTAGGCATAAGCAATTACGAAATAACACTTACTACCCAGGAACAAAAAAATGTGTTACATAGTGGAATGGTATTGCTGCTGCCGATAACGATTATGATGCTGCTATTGATGCTGATGATGATATTGATGACGATGAAGACCTCGATCGCTTTGATTCTATCCACCAAGTCGCTTACTTTTCCCAGCTTCGGCCAAGTGATAATTAGTTGAAGTTCATCGCTTAACGACTGAGGATTACGCCGATGTATAGTCAGTTCTGCTGATGGTGATTGTAAGCGCTCCGTCCTTTATAAGCGAGACCCCCGGGTGTGCGCGTGGCGTCTCAACCCGTTCGGGTCTCACGAGGTAACGCCGACCGGTTCGATTCCCCTCCCCTCTCAGTCCTCTGGGCTCTTCGCTGTCTGGGGGTCGCAAAACACCCGACTCCACTCTCGCAGCGTATCCCCTGTCCACCACTCTCATGTCCCCCTTGGTGGTGTCACCGAGAGCCCCCTTACACCCCCCTCCCTTCCCCCCCCCCGAGAGAGATGAAGCCATCAACAACAACAACATCATCATCGTCCTGATGGCCACAATGGAACATTTGGGGCTGAATCCTCACGGGACGTGGTGCAGCGAGGAGGTGATGATGGGAGTGGAGGGGAGGGACGTTGTGTTTTTAATTACACTTGCTGAGCACAGGTTCAATTGCTTTTGAGGTGAAGCGACAAACAGCACTCATGATCTCACAGCAGGTAAGAACCAACGCACGTTTCTTGAACCGGAGAAGGTTACAATGGACATATTTGGGAAAATAGCCGATGGGAGAGGATTCTCAAGTGGAGCCGTGTGAAGAAGATTATAGGAGTGCTGTGCGCGATAGTGTAGCAAGGTTACTGGGAACAATGTGCCAGTAGCGATAAAAGGGTGACAAGGAAATGACTGAACGGCGGTCAGAAAGTTATGTTATGACTGTGAATTGGTGTGCTTATGGAACGCTTTTCCGATACTAGGAAGCCACTGGAGCTATGCACTTATATTTATAGACTGAACACACATTTCTCTAGAACTGCTGCTTGTTATTAGTCTGTTGTCCTTCCCGCCGGAAACCTCCGCTTAGCACGGTTGGCTACGTACGGTACGAAATATACGTTCAACATCCTGCACACCGTACACATGCACGCGAGTGTGGTCTCAGTGAGTGCTGGCCAACAGTCGTCGCGCCCTGCCGCGTGTCGGGAACGACGAGCGAGCGAGCGTTCGTGGGCGCCTTCCAACGAGAATCCACGGCGACGAGTTGGTGACTACGTCGCTTGGTATACAGGAGGTCGTGCGTTGGGGGGCACTTTCCAACGGGAAGTCTCTGAGCGCAGAGTAATTATCTAACTTTGTTGATACCACCTGTAGGGGGCGGCGGGGGGTGGGGGGCGTAACTTTAGTGGTTCCGATTTCTTTACGTGGCCAAAAACAGTGAATTATGTGAAAACTGTTTGAAACGAGTGGGGTTATCAAAGAATTAAGTCGTATTAGCCATGTGCATTTATAATAATATCAAAAGGTTTGCAGCTTTAGGTGGTACCTATTTTTTTGTTGTGGCCCATGGACTGACGGTTTCGTCCATGGGACGGCAACCTTCGGCTCCGGAGCTGAACGTGGCTCTTTGGCTGCCCCCCTCCCCCCCCTTGCGGCTCTTTGGCTTCCCCCCTAGGAGGCAGCCCTTTGGGGGGCAGCCGTTTAAAAAAAACCCAACAACAACGCGTAAATCTTAAACGTAATTTAACGTCAAGATAATTGATCAAATATGGCAGTGAATGGGTCACTACGGAATGTATTTGTGACGACAAAATGTACAACAGTTAAACTGTATTGTTAAATAATAACTCTTTGAGTCAGAATGTGATGTCAACTGCTGTATACCTGCTGCTGCGTTTGTGTACAAAAAAGTGTTTATCCTGATTATTGGAAAGGTTGCCGACGCCTGGTTTAGTCCAATACGTGAACCTCTCTCTGTACGCGTGCGTCCGCTTGTACACGCGTGCGTTTGAACTCAACACAAATCCCCCAACACAATTCCCCCAACACAATTCCCCCAACACAATTCCCCCAACACAATTCCCCCAACACAAATCCCCCAACACAATTCCCCCAACACAATTCCCCCAACACAATTCCCCCAACACAATTCCCCCAACACAATTCCTCCACCACAATTCCCCCAACACAATTCCCCCAACACAATTCCCCCAACACAATTCCCCCAACACAATTCCCTCAACACAATTCCCCCAACACAATTCCTCCAACACAATTCCCCCAACACAATTCCTCCAACACAATTGCCTCAACACGGCCGCATGATGCTCCGCACGGCAGCTCACAAATGAGTTCTACATACAAACCTGTCAACCCTTTATCAGTTGCCTATCTTATTACAGACCAATTCAGACCTTATTGGTCACCCCGTGCCCTTATAAATCTTAACGTTCATCCTACAAAGTCCCATCACAAGGGAGAAACACAAACATACAGACGAAACATGTGTTTTTCCCCCGTATTCAAACGGCTGTACGTCGTATGGACCTGAAGCCAAAATATCCTTGTACAAGAATACGGGGTATAAACCATATGGGTTGACAGGTTTGTACATTGCCGCTTGTCGCCTTGTACCGAGACGTCCCATAGTCTATATGGAACCCCCGTGCCAAATAATAACATTCGGCTAATCCAAACACATTGTCGCAACAAGCCTGGCCCTGCTGATGAGAGTCATGAAGGTCGAACTCGGTTCAGAGTTTGCTCGTTTAAACAAAAGCTGCTTGCTAATGTTGATCCGGAGAGCTAATTACATGGGTCGATGGCCTGCATTTTAATGGTTATTATTTATTTGGGGATACATTTAATAGTTAAGTTATATTAGGATAGACAGAATTGATCAACTTCATTTGCAATTGTGATTTGTAACTTTCATCCTTACCCACGTATCCATAGTTCAATTTTAACGTGGGATTTTATTGAGTCACTCTGTGTGTTGTCTTGGCGTGGTCTGGAACTGTTCTTGCTATTGTTTAGATGCCTCGCCCAAGCTTGGAAATGGTGTCCTTTTGCAATTTGGACTCATATACTTGAAATATTTAACGTATTTTTTTTCATTGACTATTTTTCCTTTCCTATTGTTTGGTTGTTGTACATTTTCTGACCCGCCCCTACTGGACGGACATCGTGTGACAAAACAAAAACGATCTTCACAGCTCATAAATACAAACTCCGTTCCTGAATGTGTGCTCGTGTGTCTGGCTTAACACGACAGAGGCTCCCTTGTTTGTTGCGCTGGCTCGCAGGCTTGCTTTGTCGTAGGCGCGTGATCGCGAGGAAACGGCAGAATGTGGAAGCTCCCCTGGGGGTGAATTTCGGCGCTCTCCCGCGTCTCTGTTGCGCGCGAGTCCCGGCGATTATCTCGCTCGGATGAGCGCGGGCGATAAACGCCAGCGGAGATCGCCCTCGTTTCATGTAAAT